GTTGTCTGGTCGCCCTGCACGTGCAGCGTCACCTGAGCCTGTGACTTGCTCCGAAGGTTTCAAAAGATGTAAAAACGCTTTTACGTTGCGAATCTCACGAGAATCAAGAGCGATTCATTGAGAGCCTTTGCGGGACCAAGCAAGCCAAACACGATGTCTTAGAGCTAATGCTGTATGCATGCCGATCGTGAACAGCTGCCTTTCTGTGACAATAAAAGTGAGGTGACAGCACCAGTTGTATATGTATGTAACTGGTAAAACGCATATTGGCTACGGCAGTCATGTGTTCTCGGAGAGGTCCGCAAACCACTACCACGCTTTCGCACGCATTTGTATATAGCGTTCGTATTTCGATTGCTTAGATGCCAAGTTTGTCGAGTGGCTTTAAATGTATAAGGAGGTAAGTGTGAAGAGACTAAATCTATCTGCTTTGTTGAGTGTCTAGCACCAATTCAATACACACTCTTCAGTTTCATAAAAATTTCACTTTTACGGTGGTTTCCACCGGCGATTAATAACGTCGTATCGTGAGTTCAATGCCCCCTGTGCTTTTTTACAGCGCCTTTGAAAGCATATTGATGTGCACAGTATGTATTTTATGTTCACTTAAACCATGAGTGTTTCTTGCTGCGCATGTTTTATTTCGAATTAATAATCAAGCCTCATCACGCAGCGTGTCCATTTATTCGAATGTCGGTTAGGTTGTTAAGACAGCTCACTTGTTCTTCGTCATAATATACAATGCCCACTAGGACCTAGCATGTTTTAGTTATGCCGAGATTCGCCCCTGATAACCGCATCTAATTTTGCGAAACCATTCAAACTTTTAATGCTGCCTTGATTGTTTTTTTTTTCTACTCGTTTTCATAGCGGCAGCTGTATATCGCCCGCAGCTCGGGAGTGCATGCAAGGATATAATATTTTGGTGCAAAAATTATGATATCATTAGAAGGCACGCCATGCTGTGAGACTGCAGATTAATTCTAGCCACTTGAGGTTTTTTTAACGTGCACCTAAATCAATTTGAAGTGTAAGGCGCGACGACGACAACGAAGAGAGGACGCACAAACAGAGTGCCACTTCTGTTTACATTTAGCGTCATCTCACCGTACACGCTTCAAATATGCAATACCCGCACGCCATGTCTGCTATTGCAGCTAAATCTAAACACAATGTCACTACTTTGCACTTCCATGAACATGCAGCTGGTGTATTTCGGTATCAAACTCATGGCTTAATTTTATCCTAGCATAACAACACCTCAGCCTGCTGACTTGTCGATGGGTGTTCCTCGACAGACCTGCTCATATAAACACTCAGAACGAACACGCAGTATAAATTTCTTGACACTGAGCGGTGATGAGAAGTTTACAGCCATCAGATGAACAAAACACTTGCATGGCTCACGGTACAGTATTTTAACATTGGTGCATTAGGCTAGCAAGCTCAGCCCCTTTCGCATTACAAATGATTGTCTCGGAAAGCCTGGGCGCGATCTCGAAATGTACAGCAGTTGTCTGTTTGCTTTAGCTTCAGTTTACAAACGTGCTTCATTTTCATATGAGTCCAACCATCGCGTTTCTCCTTGTTAATAGTTGGCAATACTGTGCGCGACAAAAGATTCTTCAAAGTGACAAGACCACGGACCAAGTATTGACGCACTGCCATAATCCACTTTTGATGCCTTTGCTCCTCACACTGCTTGCATTGGAAACAGCAGAAGTTCACGGGTAGTTTCAGCTCTGAGACATTTTTAAACTTTTGTAGCAGCTCACAATGCAGCGGAGGTGTGTGTACTTTCTAGGGTGATAAAGAAGCGACACCCATAGCGTGCGAAATGCGGAACAGAAGCCCTAAGGAACGCGTTTTTTTATGTGCGCAATGCGGAAAAAAAGCAAGCGTGGCCCGTCCGAGCGACCGCAGCTTTGCCCTATCTCCGCTAGTGCGGCGAACAGCGCTGCTGAAACTTCAGCCTGTCTTCGCTATAGCATTTCTTGATGCACCCACGTTGACGCCTACAGCTCAACAGCTCCATCCCAATGGCTAACGTCCATGATCATGATTTGACCGCTGTGTAGCTGAAGGTCTTGACATGCACACCTGGAGACAACATATCATGAACCTCCCGCACAAAGATGGCACAAATGAGCACATAAAAAAGTCACAGTTTCGCCGCAAGGGTGAAGGAATATGAACGCTATACCTACAATTGAACTGTCACACGAAGGAATGCAAGCTGCTCAAAGCTTGCCGCGCGCTGTTCAAGCGCAAAGGATGTACGCAATGAAAACTCAGGACGAGTGCGAACCTACAGCTGCCACAGCTCGCCACTTAAAACCGGATGCTCAATCACAAAGGAGAGCGCACTAAACTAACGTGCAAGCGTGCACAGTGCGATCGCCAACTAAATATCGTCACAAATGTTACTGCTTTTTGTCTGAGCAGTGTGCTCCACTCACAAATGTGGCCTCTGAGCGAGTGAAGCGACCTTCGTGCACTCAGTAACATTAACGCAAACTTTCCCGTGAAACACAAGATGTAGAAGGCACCTCCATTATGAGACAAAAGCGCGCTCACGGTGGACCACGCCCTGTATGCAAAGTGCAGATGGTACAGGTACACGAGGCGCACGCACATCGCAAAAAGTGGGGCGGTAACCTTTAAGCCGTGCCCTTCGTTTCATCCCGCTAGTGATAACGAGAACACGCTCATGTGCCACCGAGCTCGGAGTACTACCAACGGCAATCGATACATATGAATAGCAAAGCGTTAGTAGGCTAAAGAGTGTTAGTTTTGTGACCTAGTCATTTAGCGCCACGTGCTATGGAGCGGTTGATCAGGGGTTCGCTTCGCGGTGATGGAACTTTTTTTTTTATATTTTCCGCACCGAAAGCTGTATATGGCAAGGAGAAACGAAAAACCGTATGGCATCGGAGGCACGAGTGGTCTCCATTGGCTGTGCTATAAGTTACGTCGTTTTCAGCGTGGTACCCAAGCACTCACAGCATTGGCTGCTCTGTGAGTGACGTCGTCGATCCCGTCGCTGCCGTGACGCCGAGCACGCGTGCATCAGTCTCTATACTGAGACTTTCCAAATGGGTAAGCAACGGACAACTAGAGCACCGACAGTGTAAACATAAAGCAGCTCGCATTCGCCAGGCCGATGGTGCAGTCCGGGCCCAAAAACAGGCCCGGGAGGCCGAGTGCCGGCAGCAAGTGCATACCAACAATCCGCCAGCCATTCAAGCCGCGCTAAATTTCTAACGGTTATAAGTACCTCCTATCATTGGCATTGCCTTTTGTACACGTTGACCCGACATTTACAAATGAGCGCGAAGTCATGAAAGCACGAGACTATTTTTTTTTCCTCACATGCAAGCAATATACTCCAACAGCGCGGCGGCTTTTTCGATCCTCCGTGGGAGCGCCGTAGTGTGGAGAAAAAAGCGGGACGCGCCCAACTTTTGAAACACGGTCTCTCCGTGCGATCGGAACGGTCGCAGAAGCACACGCCCCACGCCCACCTTCCCGGATGTCATGGTTCTTGCAAAAGAGTTCTGCAGAAGCCCGCAAGGTGGCGGATGGGTAAGAAAGGAAAAATAGACAACCACCCGTTTGCAGCACGAAGCCACAAGAAAATCCGTACGCATTTTTCAGAAAGAAAAAAAGCCGCCCATTCCAAAAAATTTTTGTCCTAATTTGTCAGCACCCTGAGCTGGATGAATTTTCGGTCGCTCTGTTAGAGAAATGCGCACTGACTTCCATGTGGTTTCGTGCATCAAACGGGTGGCCATCTATACTCCCATTTTCTTACCCTTCCACCGCATCCCGTGTTTCCGCAGAACTCATTTACATTACTTGCGTCTGTATGCTTCGATTTGTCGATGAATTCGCCCTCACGCTGTCAATAGACCGATCTCACCGCGAATCGCAGCATGCCAACGCTGCCGCAGTGGATCCTGGTATACTTGGAGCACTCGTCACGTTCGCTGTCTTAAGTGAGCTGCATCAACCAGCTTTTGCAGCCGTATTGAAGGCATCGTGATGGTTGCCTCACCTGGCATGTGCTAGGATGCTAAAATAGCAGCTTGGAGCAAAAGGACTCGGTTACTTCACTTGTTTTTATTGATTGTAGATTTTGATGCATTTTAAAGTCCGATGGAGTGGCAAATGCCGCGCTCTTCCAAGGTATAGTTTAAAGTGTTCGCCACTCGCGAGATCAGTGTGCATAACATAACGCATGGTAGTTAGGCAGTGCTCTAGCAATATTGCATCATAACAAGCTTTCTGCGCGATTGGTTGGCCGATCAACGACAGCAAAACTTCATGCTACACGTGCTCGATCCCTTCGCTGTCAGTGGTGGCAAACTGCATACAACGTGTTTTCAGGGAAACACAGAGATCACCAGAACTGCCTCTCACCAAAAGCGATGGCAACCGTGAAGTGTATTGCTTGAGGGAGGCCCTGGGGTAGAAACGGTAATTGGAAGACCGGACTGTACGCGTACACAGCTTCACAACATGTATAGCACGGCGAAAATTCTGTCATGCCACACTGCAAAACAAAAATTATGCCGAGGTCGGAGTAAAACACTTTTCCTCCAGGACAAAATTTTTCTCCGGCTCGCCGGAGCAATTGCGTGGCATATATTTCACTCGGGCCGACCGGAGCAATGCCGTGGCGCCGCCGGAGCACTTTTTACTGGCATTTTTCTCCGGCTGGCCGGAGTGATTACGTGGCACCTCCGGAGCATTTTTCGCGGGTTTTTCATTCCGGCTATCCGGACAGTTTGTGTGGTACCTCCGGAGTATCTTACGATTGTACTTGCTTCGTCCGGACAGAATTTCCGTGAAGTGGAGCCGTAGTTTTTAAAGCGTTTGTATGCTGATCATTTCACGAATTGGTTAGATGAAGGAAGTCCCGATTCTCGTGCAAGCACTGCAGCATTACTATGTGTGTTTTTCCACAGAGCTCTAGCAGATGAAATTCAAGAAAGCGCTTGAGTTTCTATTCTTTGATTTATTCAAAATAAGCTGTCATGTCTCAATAATTTGCCAGCTTATAGAGATCAGAACAAACAAATATGCAAAATGTCACCAAAAGCAAAACACAATAAGACAGATCCCATGAAATAAACAGCACTCAACTTTGAAGCACGGCACATCAAAATGAAGCCCATAATGCTGCAAAACGATGCACGACAAACGAAGAAAGCGAGACTACCGAAAACAACTCTTCACTATCCCCGAAGAACCATTCATCAAATTCATTGACGACGGGAGGGTTGATTTGATTGCTTTCTGCATAATTTAGCAAAAAAAGTGAATATACATGAAAACTGCACATCGTGTGAGGGCACGGAAACTGATAACACTGAATCCACGGACACTCAATAAATCCTTTGCAGTCTGTGAGTTTATTAGAATAAACAACTTCTAAAACTGACCACACACACTCACACACACATACAAAGACAGGATGAGCATTCAATACCAAGAAGCACATCCGAGGTAATCCAGTGTGAGACAGCCGCAATAGGATAAAAACACACATCCTGACGCGAAAATAGTTCAAAACTGGCCAAAGTTTTCTATATATATTTTTAAAGCTATAGCTCTACCTTTGCTGAAACATTCGAAAGCAATTTTTGACTACAATAATATTATTTTGGTACTATCGTAAATGGCATCAGGAGTATCCCTCCCAATCATTTCCTAATTTTATCAAATAACAATTCTGATTATTACAGTCTGCGTGCTCATTGTCGTACTTCTAGCAAAGTGGGCCCTAACACTTTGCATTGCTGCAGCCTGTCTTTAAGAGAAGCCTACCTTTATCTCCTTTGAAAAATAATTTTTGAGGTAAGTTGGCATTGTTCTTTTTCATTACCTGCTTTGATTTGATACTCGTCGTTGTGAACATTTTTAATCTAGTTATTGTATGAGCATGTATTTCAAGACGAACAGCTTCAAGCACGAAATAAGGAAAAGTTCACAGAACGTAACAAAATAAATAAGCAATAAAAGGCACACACAGAAATCAGGGATGGCTGACCAGTTTACTCAACACAAAGGTCCGTACGAACGCACGTCCGAAGGCCACACAAGGTGATGCACCTGGTAGCGTCACAACGTGCCAGTTCTTCCTTTTTTAATTTTTCTTTTCTCTTTTCCGCGCACAGGTCAGCGTTGTTTCAATTCCCAGGTCAAAACTACGTCTCAGCACCGTTCGCACTCCCGTCTTCTGCCAGAAAAAACTGCATTTACAGCCACGGCAGCATGACTGAAAAAAGAAAAATATGTAGGAGTAGGATAGCAGTCACTCCCATGAACACGGAAAATAAGGCTAGTTATTTTTTCGAAGGGGTACCTTCTCCTTTTTCTCTTTCTTTCACTACAATGCCCCCTTCATCTTGGAATGTTGGGCCGGGATGTCATATGGGTTAACTTCACCAAACACACTGCCCTACCTCAATTCACTTCATTTTTAAAGAATTAACACTTATTTTAGTTATTCAAGCTTTATTAGTTCAGCCTACATATTCTAACAAAATAACATTTACGCAGTGGTAGACCTTGACCTGGCGTTTACTGATGCGGAAAGCCGACAAATGTCACCGTCTAGGTATACCGACTAGACCAAAAATATATTTCAACCAGTTAGCTTTTCCTATAACAATCACTACCGTTTGATTGAATCAACTTCAAACTGTGCTATTTTCTATTGTTGCATATTTATTCAACACTCCAAACATTACAGTGACTTCATTCAATTTACCGAAGTTATTATGGCGTAAATGTAGCGCAAAAAGGACGAGGGCGAGAAAGACAACAAAGACAAGCACTTGTGGTGTTCACTTTCTTTATCTCGTGCTTTTCTGCACTACATTTACGTCATAATGGATTAGTACCAACTCGCTCATCTTTGTACCGAAGTTATGTTAAGAAGAAAAAAAAAACGTAATCCAGACAATGCATTATTAGAATTCCGCTGACTTTTCACTCACGTCTTGTAAAATTAGCCGACATTTATCACTTCTTTGGTTCATCAACCCAACATTATCTAATATAAGGAATACCTGACAAGAATAACACAGGTAGTTCAAAGAGAGCTCGCTCACCATTTTTTCGCCGCACCAGCTACCGCCGGGTCTCTCAACACTCGTGAGATCACAATGTGTCGTTCGCTGCCAGGGAGCATCACACGATTACCGCTCGCACCACTCCCTTCTGTCGTTGATAACCTTTGTTGCTGCTTGTCACTTGTGATATCCAGAAGGTGTTCATAATGATTTCCTTTCCTCCAACGTGGCCGAACGTTTCGCACAATTCTGACTGCACCGGCTCTGTCTGTGTCATGTTGGTTTCTGGGGAACGGCCTCCCGGCCGCGAGGCTGCCTATGTCACTCCTCAAACAGCCAATGAATGCCGCTGAGCGATAGCGGGAGCAATCGGGGAGCATCCACCAGGGCAAGAGCAATGTACCGGAGCGTTTTCGAAGGATCAACGGGAGCATAATCAGGAGACTGGCCCCGTTTTCCTCCAGCTTTTTTCGTCCGGGGCCCACCGGAGGAAAACTGTGAAAAATGAATGTATTTGCTCTGGTACAATACGGTTTGAGTAAGGCCACCAGAGCACAGTGGGGCATCATTCCCCGATTCCTCCCAGCTGGGTATGTTTTTGTTTAAAGTGCTGCATCACAGCCAACTATACGCCGTCGGAATGGCCCCATTAATTTAAAGATCTTATATCATGAACGCGGAGTAAAATGGCAACCGCAGTAGACCTTATATGAGCGTGGGCGCACTGCAGTTTCAAAGTGGTGTATAGGCCTTATAGCGACGATATCCGCACCAAGCCGGCGACAACTGTGGCCGTCGCTGGTGGCCGTGGAATGGACTCATCCGCCGCAATGTGTGAGTCAGCCTATAGCCTCTTACTGACTGATCGATTTCTTGTCCAGTAGGAAATATTTTGCCGTTACCAAGATTTTTGACGGTAAACTTCTTGAATGGCTTGCGGCCTGTCCCCGTCATGTAGACACGCTTCTATAATTGTTTCAAGGAGACCGTTTCACAATCATCCACGTCTAACGCAGCAGTGTGATAGGAAGCCTCCATTGGCAATGCAGTGCACATAAAAAGGGTTAAGAAAGAGCAAATTAACAACTACCCGTTTGTGGCACGAATACACAAGAAAATCCGTACAAATTTCTCAGATAGAAAAGCTTCTTTCATAAAAAATTCCGCCATATCCACGAAGTGAATGATGATGAGTGGGCGAAGCTCCGGAGGTAAACCTGGTAAACCATGAATCCTCTGTACATTTTGCCCACTCTATTTTATTACATCGCTCACCCTAGCGTACGTCGCCGCACTAAATCGAACGATTGCCTTCAACCAATGACACGCGCCATATGTGACATCATTCCTATTTTATAAGATCTCGCGTCTTTCATCAACTACAAGTACCACTTTCTAGTTTATAACATCTTGCATCTTTTCATCATCAGCTACAAGTACCACCATCTAGTAAACACTACAAGAACTAAACGAGAGGTGGCTACATACAGGAGACGGTACCGCCATCTAGTGAACACTGCAAGAACTAAACTAGAGGTGGCTACATACAGGCTACAGGGGACGCACAGCCCACGCCCTAAGGAGCTTCGCCCCTAAAAGTATTGCGTGAACAAAAAAGATGCGCAAAAAGTTTTTTTTTTTCGTCCAATCGGTTTGTTCTTTTGCCGTCTTCAGATTGCAGAGTTTGGGGATGTTCTATTCCGAATACTGTAACTTGTATCGCTGGCATGATGACGTTAACTACAAAGCTAGCTCTTGCTCGCATGGCGACAGGGACTGTATTTTTGTTTTATAATAACTAATATGAAACTATCGAAGTGACACAAGCGACTCAACACGCCAAGATAACCTGGCCACATGCAAGCGCTGTCGACCTTTTTTTTTCTTTCTTTCATACAAGCAAATGCAGTGTTAACTTAAACACAGTAACACACAGTGCAGGCCTGGACTCAGGTTTCAATCGCGTTGAATTGTCTTATGCGCTGGGGATCCGTACCGAACGCTAAAACATTTGAAGCACGCAGCAACCAGTCACCCCAGCAGCGCTTCGAGTACTTCAACGAAAATGGTGGCAGAACCACTGCCGGAAACCCACGTGTCTCAGATAATCCGGTGATATCGGCCTATTGCTAGCTTCTTGCTTAGCTCAATCGGTGGAATGACCACCCAGAAAGACGTTGGTCCCGAGTTCAAACCACGGACCAGGACGAAGTTTTCGGTAACTATGGCTTTTCTTTCTGGTGTTAGAAATCTGTACGGGTTTCCTTGTGCATTCGTGCTACAATCGTGTGGCTGTATATTCTAGCGGCCATTCGTCTTCATTGGCCACATAATAATTATGATGCCCTCGCGTGCATGTGAATGCCCATGTGCTTTGTTGAACAAAGATATTTAGGCACAGTCTCATCTTCTTCTGCTCCCGCAGTCAGCCTGAACGGTTGACTTGTTTTTCGCTCGCGGCCACACGCATGATTATGGAGGACCCAACCTCGGTTCCTATGTCTATTTTCTTTCTTCTGTCAATGACAGCCTCTGTTCGCAGTCGGGTGAAACCAGTAGCTTACCGTCTTTATTGTTGACGTGAGGCTGGGCGCGGGTAAGCTGGCACCCTGTTTACCAACTGCGGTGCTACCGTCGCTGTTGCCATGTGGGTCTGCAATGAAAAATGCACTCGCTTACGACGGTGCACAGGTACTGCGGCCGCTCTATGCGGACCTGTGTGTGTGCAGTTTATATATATATATATATATATATATATATATATATATATATATATATATATATATATATATATATATATATATATATAGAAGAATAACTTCGGTTGCCGCAAGGTTATAAATATGAAAGTAGATGCGCTTTCACATAACAACTGTTTATTGTGCCGACGTTTCGACAGGAACCCTGTCTTTTTCAAGGCATAATACTATTTACACATGTTCCGTGCCTTTTTATATCCTGTCGAGACAGGAGGGGAGGGGTCAAATGAGAAAGAGAGAGAAAAAAAGGAAGAAACAGCGAAACGGGAGGACAAACAATAAATAAAATATAGAAAATCTAGGAGAAGAAGCAAGACCGACATGGCGTAATTAGAAAGGGGCAGCATTTCAACAGAGTAGGGCAGAGGTAGATGAGGAGTGTCATCATTGTCAACAATACCTCCCCCGCACCCACACTTCCCCAAGTGGGCAGGGAGTCACCGTTTTTGTATTTCACCTTTCCGTGTAGTCCGCTGGCGCGTTCCTCTTTGAAGTGTATGACAAGTTAATGGGGAGGGCTTAAGCGCTTTAAGTGCATGCTGGTGGCATCGGGAGTAGCGAAAAAGCCGGTGAATGAGGCACTGCCATCGATATTCATTATATGCATTGGTTCCTTGTCAGTGAAGGAACAGAATGTGCGTTAAAGGATTAACGAAGGAAAAAAAAAAGAAGAAGAAGAACAGGGGGGGGGGGGGAGAGACTGTACCACTCCGGGACAGTCACCACACAGTTGAGGCGCACTGGGAAGATATGCGCGCATGTAGGAAAAGGTTAACGAAACCACCTAGCTGTCAGCTCCTTGTCAGTGAAGGAACAGAATGTGCGTTGAAGCTTGACGAAGAAAAAAAAAAAGGGGGGGGGGGACCGTACGACCTCCGGGACCACTTATCTGTGCGTTCCGGCTGTGCTTTATGAGGCAAATCGTTTCTATGTTGTCAGATGCATAGGCCAAAAGCTTCGTTAGCGGGTAATATTATTGTCGTAATGAAACCGGACTGATTAGAGAGAAGCGTTTGCGTCTTTTAGCGGTCGTAACGCAGACAGAGTGCCTGGGTGTTCATTTATTCCGTATTTTATCGTGTTAAATTTGTAGATAAAATAAGATTCCCGTTGTTCCCGTTCTCTGATTGTTCGAAAGTTGTTTTCTAGTAGTGTAACCCTGATGTCATCAAAGCTGTGGTCTTTTAATGTGCAGTGTTTTGAAAGTGGAAGGCCTGGAAGAGATCGTACATGTGCCCGATGGTTGTTGAATCTAATTCTAAACGGAGTGTCTGTCTGGCCCACGTATTGCTTGTTACATACCCCACATTCCAAGAGGTATATGACATTGTCTGAGTCACAGTCTAGTGCACCTCTTATCCTGTGCTTAAAATCCGAGTGGGTGCTTTTCGCCACTGTCGTTGTCTGCATGTGTTTGCATACCCTGCATCTGCTTTTTCCGCAAGGGTGACACCCAATTTGAGGTTCCACACCTATCTTTGAATTTACTAAATGATCCTTTATATTTTTCGGTCTTCTGTATACAACACAAGGAGGAGAAGTGAAAATTTTGGATAGTCGCACGCTCTGTTCCAATATGTTAAAGTGTTTTCTTAGGACCTTGTTTATGTTCGGTGGGTTGCTCGTGAAAGTTAATAGCAAGTTTTTGTTGCGGTGTTGGTCGGCGTTTCTCTGGTGGTTGAGAAGAATCTGGCGGTCAAGATTTTCAGCTTTTTTGATGGCGTCATCGATGATAGCTGGTGGGTATTCTTGATTAAGGAGTACTTCGCGCATATGTGTGCTGTTTTTGTGGAAGTCCTCGGTGCGGGAGCAGATTCGTCGAAATCTGTGTGCTTGAGAATAGGGAATGCTGGTCTTGCAATGTCGCGGGTGGCAGCTTTTGAAGTGCAGGTATTGTTGCCTGTCTGTAGGTTTTCTGTATACGTTAGTTACCAACGCACCATCGTCAACTCGAATGAGTACATCAAGAAAGTTTATTTCAGTGTTAGAGTAGGTGTGTGTAAAATAAATGCTGGGGTGTACCTGGTTGAATTCCTGTATGAATTTGAGGAGCTCGTTTTCCGAATGTGTCCAAATTATGAATATATCATCTAGGTACCGTTTATAGAGTAATGGTTTGATATTACAAGATGAAAGAAAATTGGACTCTATGTGGTGCATGAATATGTTGGCGTAGTTTGGGGCCATTCTTGTACCCATTGCCGTACCGCTGATTTGAAGATAGTACTGGTTGTTAAATTCAAAGCTGTTAAATCGAGTACAAGTCTTGTGAAGATTTCAATTACTTTTTGCTTGGATAAGCGACAGGGTTGTGTGTGCCATACGATTCAACAAGTGCCCTTACACCATCGTCATGTGGGATATTTGTGTAGAGTGAGCTAACATCCAATGTTACGAGAAATGCACCGTCTGTAATTTTCACGTCTGCTATTTCACGTCAACCACCAGAGAAACGCCGACCAACACCGCAACAAAAACTTGCTATTAACTTTCACGAGCAACCCACCGAACATAAACAAGGTCCTAAGAAAACACTTTAACATATTGGAACAGAGCGTGCGACTATCCAAAATTTTCACTTCTCCTCCTTGTGTTGTATACAGAAGGCCGAAAAATATAAAGGATCATTTAATAAATTCAAAGATAGGTGTGAAACCTCAAATTGGGTGTCACCCTTGCGGAAAAAGCAGATGCAGGGTATGCAAACACATGCAGACAACGACAGTGGCGAAAAGCACACACTCGGATTTTAAGCACAGGATAAGAGGTGCACTAGACTGTGACTCAGACAATGTCATATACCTCTTGGAATGTGGGGTATGTAACAAGCAATACGTGGGCCAGACAGACACTCCGTTTAGAATTAGATTCAACAACCATCGGGCACATGTACGATCTCTTCCAGGCCTTCCACTTTCAAAACACTGCACATTAAAAGACCACAGCTTTGATGACATCAGGGTTACACTACTAGAAAACAACTTTCGAACAATCAGAGAACGGGAACAACGGGAATCTTATTTTATCTACAAATTTAACACGATAAAATACGGAATAAATGAACACCCAGGCACTCTGTCTGCGTTACGACCGCTAAAAGACGCAAACGCTTCTCTCTAATCAGTCCGGTTTCATTACGACAATAATATTACCCGCTAACGAAGCTTTTGGCCTATGCATCTGACAACATAGAAACGATTTGCCTCATCAAGCACAGCCGGAACGCACAGATAAGTGGTCCCGGAGGTCGTACGGCCCCCCCCCACTTTTTTTTTTTTCTTCGTCAAGCTTCAACGCACATTCTGTTCCTTCACTGACAAGGAGCTGACAGCTAGGTGGTTTCGTTAACCTTTTCCTACATGCGCGCATATCTTCCCAGTGCGCCTCAACTGTGTGGTGAATGTCCCGGAGTGGTACAGTCTCTCCCCCCCCCCCCTGTTCTTCTTCTTCTTCTTTTTTTTTCCTTCGTTAATCCTTTAACGCACATTCTGTTCCTTCACTGACAAGGAACCAATGCATATAATTAATATCGATGGCAGTGCCTCATTCACCGGCTTTTTCGCTACTCCCGATGCCACCAGCATGCACTTAAAGCGCTTAAGCCCTCCCCATTAACTTGTCATACACTTCAAAGAGGAACGCGCCAGCGGACTACACGGAAAGGTGAAATACAAAAACGGTGGCTCCCTGCCCACTTGGGGAAGTGTGGGTGCGGGGGAGGTATTGTTGACAATGATGACACTCCTCATCTACCTCTGCCCTACTCTGTTGAAATGCTGCCCCTTTCTAATTACGCCATGTCGGTCTTGCTTCTTCTCCTAGATTTTCTATATTTTATTTATTGTTTGTCCTCCCGTTTCGCTGTTTCTTCCTTTTTTTTCTCTCTCTTTCTCATTTGACCCCTCCCCTCCTGTCTCGACAGGATATAAAAAGGCACGGAACATGTGTAAATACTATTATGCCTTGAAAAAGACAGGGTTCCTGTCGAAACGTCGGCACAATAAACAGTTGTTATGTGAAAGCGCATCTACTTTCATATATATATATATATATATATATATACATACATGAGATCTAACAGACAGTAATGCCAAGACAGACAGAGCATCGAACGCGTTATTCGAAGGTCGTAGGTTCAATTCCTGCTCACGGCTCGTTATTTTTTCACCCACGTTTCTTTCTTCTTTCTTCTTATTTATATTTCCATTGATTTTAATAACTTCCCCTGTACATTCCTCGGCATTACTGTCTGTTAGATCTCATTAATATTGTGTTAAAAACACGGAAAAACGAGCCCTTAGGTATACACTTCTTTCCCTTATTTCATTGAACGAGGGTCTCGTACTGGCAGACTTGGTGTGTTTACGTTGTATAAGAGGGACAATTAATCAGGTGCCCGCTCATAATAAGTTCACGTGCTACGTGACGCCAAACATGCGCATAAGAGTGTTTTCACACTCGTCGTTTGGCTTATAGATGGCGCTAACTGTCACTCCTACTTCTAAATTCACATATAAACCCCAAAAAGTGGATGGGGGAAGGCCGCTGTGATAGCTCAGTGGTTAGAGCATCGAACGCGTTATTCGAAGGTCGTAGGTTCGATTCCTGCTCACGGCCGGTTATTTTTTCATCCACTTTTCTTTCTTCTTTCTTCTTATTTACATTCCATTGGTTCTAATAACTTCCCCTGTACATTCCTTGGCATTACTGTCTGTTAGATCTCATTAATATTGCGTTAAAAACACGAAAAAACGAGCCCTTAGGTATACACTTTTTTCCCTTATTTCATTGAACGAGGGTTTCGTACTGGCAGACTTGGTGTGTTTAGGTTGTATAAGAGGGACAATTAATCAGGTGCCCGCTCATAATAAGTTCACGTGCTACGTGACGCCAA